TTTATTTCATGTTAATTTGACATATTAACCGGAGAGGAACAGAGTGAGAGAGAGAACGAGACAGCAAGCCACCAGGTCCAGACTCAAACTGTGGTTGGCCACGTGGGAGTCCAGCACCCTTAACCACCACACCACCTGCCGGCCCCCAGACAAAATTTTTTTAAAAGAAAAGAAAAATTGTCAATTTTGCTCATTAAAGTGAGAACTGGAAAAATGAACTGACATACATGAATTAACAAGTTAAGAGACCTTTCAAGAAAAGAAAAATTGTCAGTTTTGCTCATTAAAGTGAGAACTGGAAAAATGAACTGACTTACGTGAATTAACAAGTTAGAGAGCTTTCATCATTTTCAGTAAGTTTACTGGTGTAATTTTCCTTCCTTCACCCCCGTATGAGATTATGACACCTCAGGTCTAGCCATGAAAGCAGCCGGAGGGTACCAGGGCTCAGGAAAGACGTCCACCCATCGGGGCTGCGTCTGCCCTCACACGTAGCAGACTGAAGTCCCTTAGCAAGGATTCGCTGGGCACGTCCTGTTGTGGACACTGTGCTTGAATGGTTCGCTGGTCGCTTTCCCGCGACATTGCTGGGTCCTGGTTGTTCCTCTCCATATGTGAACCTCCTCTCCACGGAATAGCCCACATCACATTTCCCTCCACGGACTATGTAGCTGGTCTGAGCTACACGTTAGAAGCAACGGTAAAGCGAGCCAGCAGTTAGCATAATGGCTATGTCGCTGGACTCCCACGTAGTAGACCGCAGTTCGCGTCCCAGACCCGGTGGCTTAAAACTCACACCGGGTGCATGTGCGTGCATGCCCAAGATCCCAAGAGGAGAATGGAGGAGAAGGGATTGCGGCGTGACCATCCCCCCGGGGGGTGATTTCTCGCTTTCTGTCTCTCTGTCTCTCTCTGTCTGGTGAGCGCACGCGCCCTATAGTGAAAACCTCTCCAAAAAAAAAAAAAAAAGAAGCAACGGTAAGGATCTGAGATCACCCTGGGAGCTTTCCCTCATCCTACAGACTCGGGTAGGGCCCCATTGTGTATCAGAAGGCATGGAAATTTTCCTAACTTTGATGGAAAGTTCCCACTCAGAATTTGTCCTCAAGGAAATACGGCTATATACGGTACTAATACCCAGCAGAAGACGGACACAGAAAGTGCTGAATCCCCTCAACGGCCTGTCACGTAGTCAAGGCTAGGAAACTTATGAACAGTGAAGTATCATTTGTTAAGGGGAAAAAAAAGGAAGGTGCTAAGTTATAGTTATGACCACAACTACATGAGATAGGCAGGAGAAAGACGAGAGGGAGATGCAGTCAGTGGTCACCCAGACAGCACAGAGGTAGGGCAGGGTGCCATCCCTCAGAGATTCTGCGGTAAAACACAGGCCTGAAGCCTCATGCCGCCACTGGAAGCTGCAGGACTAAGACCAAGTTGTTTGGTGCCTCCATTTACTCTAAAATGAGGATATTTGAGGCTAGCAGGTGGCATGGTAGTTAGGATGACTGAATCCCACACATGGCTAACTATGCAGTTCAAGTCCCAGACTCAGCAGCTTGAGGAACATTCCAGGCATGTGTGTATACATGTGTGCCCAAAATCCCAAAAGGAGAAATGGAGGAGAGATTGCGGTATGACTCTCCCCCAAGGGGGTGGTTTCTCACTTTCTCTCTCTCTGTCTCTCCAGCAAGCATACATGCCCTCTAGCAAATTTTTTAAATAATCAAGTACAGGGCTAACAGATGGTGTGGTGGTTAGAGGCACTGGATTCCCACATGGCCAAGTGTGGTTCAAGTCCTGGACCTGGTGCTTGCTTTCTCACTTTCCCTCTCTGTTTCCCTCTGGTCAGATTAAAATAAATAAATAAATAAAGTTAAATAAAAATAATTCTTTTCTTAATTTTTATTTTTAACTTTTTATTTAAATTTTCCCAGAGAGGGATAGAGACAGAGAGAAGGTGAGAAAGCAAGTCACCAGGACTTGAACCATAGTTGGCCATGTGGGAATCCAACACCCTTTACCACCATGCCACCTGCTGGCCCCAATAAAATAATTCTTTAAAAAATAATAATAAAGTAAAATAAAGAGTACAATGAGGATATTTAATAATATCAATCTCATAGGACTGTTACATGGATAAATGAAGTAGTACATGTAAAGCCATTAAAACAATACCTGGCAGGACCAGCAGTTGGCATAATGGCTATGTCACTAGACTCCCATGTAGTCAACTATGGTTTGAGTCCTGGACCCAGTGGCTTAAACTCACGCCAGGTGCATGTGAGTCCGTGCCCAAGATCCCAAGAAGAGAATGGAGAAGAAGGGATTGTGGTGTGGCCATCCCCCATGGGGGATTTCTCACTTTCTGTCTCTCTGTCTCTGTCTTTCTGGCAAGCACACATGCCCTATAACAAAAACCTCTCAAAAAAACAAAAAACAAACAAACAAACAAAAAAAAACAAAAACCTGGCACTTACATACTAACTCAAATGTTAGTAACTGTAAATGATGGACTCTCTAGATGTTTTTTTTATATATATAATTATTCATTTAATTTTATTTATTATTATTTTAAACTTGTTATAGAGTATGTGCACTCACCAGAGACAGAAAGAAAGCGAGAAAGCAAGCCACCAGGTCCAGGAACCACAGTTGACCATTGAGAGTCCAGAACCTTAACTACCACACCACCTGCTGGTCCCTTTTTTTATTTGTCTTTGCGGTTACAGGTATACACACATTTGAAGGTTCAAATCCCAGCTTCATCAACTTACACTCTGTGTAGCTTGGGCAAATTACTTAAGCTCACTATGTGTCAGTTTGCTCATTCGTAAAATGGAAATAATAATTGCGCCATTCTGAGCCATGCCCCCTTCTGCCAGTGACTACCCCAAGCCATAGCTGTTCATAAAATGATGCAGAACTGGAAAGCTGTAAACTCCAATTCAGTGTAACACTGTGGGAAGACTCGTCTAAGGTCTATTTCTATAGAATTTAAGGTAGTTTATAAACATTCAACTACTCTATCTAAAACACTGAAAATAGTATACAATTTATCACTAATCAGTTGCCTTATATCTGAATTTAATCTTTTTAAAACAGCTTTTCAAAAAGTCTGTATAAATTACATGTTGTCTCTTTACTAAATGTGTCCACCACGGTGGTTAAGGCTGCTGGATTCCACATGGCTGACTACATAGTTTGGGTCCCAGATCTGGTGGATTAAAAAAAAACCCAGGTGTGTGTGTGTGTCCAAAATCCCAAAAAAGGAATGGAAGAGAAGAGACTGGAGTGTGGCCATCCCCCCTGAGAAGTGCTTTTTCACTTTCATTTCTCTGTCTGCTTCTGGTAAGCGCATGCACCCTATAACGAATTTCTTTCTGTTTTTTTTTTGGAGAGGATTTTTTTGCTATAGGGCGCATGCACTCGCCAGACAGACAGAGACAGAGAGACAGAAAGCGAGAAATCACCCCC